CCACGTCTTTTGCATTTTGTGGCGCTTTCGGTGCGGAATTGGGTTTAGGTTTAGTCTCAATCACCGGTTGTGACGGCGGAACCGGTTGCTCAAGAAGTGCCCACAGGTTTGGCTGAAGGATTTGCTGCGGGATTTGCGGAGCAATTTGTTGCGGATTTGCAGCGGCACTCGAGGCCGCGCTCGACGGCATGCGAGCGCTATTATGGCGGGACTCTCTGTCTTCGTTGCCAATGATATCGTAATACGAATGCGATTCTGAGGCCGAGTTCTTAAGATCTTCGGATGTGTTGCGACCGAACAGCAGAATCACTTGAAAGCCGCGCCGTTTGGCCGATCGGATGGCCGGCGCGAAGTCAATGTCACCAGTAATCAGGAAAATGGGATTCCTGTTGTGGTGATGATCAGTGAACTTCTGCATACACTCCATGAGCTTACAGTCGGCGTCCACTTTATGGGGCACTCGAACGGGATTCACGTGCAGAATGTCGACGCCATACCTGTTGAGCGCTTCCACGTGTCGGGCGTCCAGAATGCGTGTATCGCACGAACAGATGAAGACACACGGCTCGGGCTGTTGGCCAACAATCGACTCAAATTTGGTGGCAATGAATTGTTTGACTCTTTGGACCACATTAGCGGCCCTTTCCATACAAGGAATGGCACAGTTCTCGATGTCCCAGAAGATGCCATACGATTGACAATTCAACGTCTTCTCCATCGGTGATAATCTCTATTCAGTCAATACAAACATGCATTAAATGGTTAACAAATAGGGCGACGACTCCTCACATACTCTATAGCTGTAAATGAGTGATAAAAATGCAGATTTCTGTTCAAATCAGTACTGTTTGAGTGATTTGTAACACAAATATCGGTCTTATATTACAGTAATAATGATCTGACGATTGAGATATGAATGCTATGAATGTTATGGCATATCATGTGATCCCATATAATGTATGGCAAAACACAACTACTTATCAAACATTGAATCAGTAATTAATAAATCAATTGTTTCTCACAAATCAAACACCAGTTTTGAAAAGCAAACCAAACGTCAATACAATTAGTGTTTACATCAAATGTATAGTCAATTGTTGGGCACGACTACTGAGACAACACTTGCCATACAATTAACGTTCACTCAATTAAAGCCACAATTAATTGACAACAAAAACAAATGCACAACAATTGACGTACTCTTTAAACACAACACTAGTATTGGCCCACAATTGTTGGGTTCGAGACCACGTGTTCGAGCCCTTCAAGCACTCAATATTGAGCACTAAAACAGCTAGTGTTGAGCCCAAGGGTTGAGTCGTCTCTAACGCCATCACTAATGGAAATACATTTAAACAGTTATGCAATGCATTGAATGCAATGACACGTAACG